ACCTATACCCTCCAACACCCCCAATACCCCCACCCCCCATTAATCCCTAACCTATACCCTCAAACCCACCCCTACACCCCCACCCTACGCCGACTTTTCCTGTTGTTATATGTCTGTCTCTTTCATTCTCTCCTCTTAGCTGATTTTGCCTTCTTTATTCTGTTCTACCTATATTTATCAGGTCCCTGGTTATTTCTATCTCAAGGTAAAGGTCACTGTAAGAGGTCAAAGTTGAGCTCTTTCTCGTCTTCTTGAGATAATGATGAAATATAAATAAATGTTCACGAAGTGTACATTAATGCTAAAACAGGACCATTTATGGTCCTTTTTACGTAGAAGAAAATAATCAGTAGATGAACTTACTACTACGTATATGTAGATACTGCATGACCTCCCTGTATTAGATTTAATTATGAACAACATAAGTGTAGTCACGATATGCCTATTCTACGTCACTAAAGACTACCATTAAATGACTTTGGGCTTTAGCAATTAGGCGATATTATAGAAGTTATACACTAAAGGTATAGAAATATTTTATAAAAATCAGTATTATTATTTTTTTCTTATTTGTTGCAAACTGATAGTTAAATTTCAGATATTTGCGATCTTTGGACTCCAATGAAATACTATTCAGATATTTGTGATCTTTAGACTCAAATGAAATAATAAAACATATATATATATATGAATTTCAGCTGTCAAATCGCAGAGAAAGTTTTAAAGATATTTTAACAACCACAATTTGAATTCAAAATTATTCCCATAGTAGATTACAGTATTTCTAAGAACATATTTTAATCAAATATCCTTTAGACTTCAATTATACCAACTTTGCTTTTGTCAAATATCTTAATACTTCTAGATAAAACTAAATTTTATTAAAAAAAGATGCTGAATTTAATTGTTGATATTTCAGATCTCCCAACAGTTACGATTGGTCAGTCTTCCTACACAGTGACCACCGGTCAGTCTCTGACCTTGACCTGTACCGTGTCTGCTTCTCCTGCGATAAACAGTCTTGTATGGAAGAAGATACGAGGTGGCGTCACTTCAACAATTTCAACGTCGGGGAGCAGTAAATACTCCGGAGCAACTGTTAATAACCCCTCCCTGACGATCTCTAGTACTGACAACACAGACGAGGGATACTATTACTGTGAAGCTACAAATGCTGTCGGAACCAGCGACAGTACACAGGCCTACCTGTCCGTCACAGGAAGTAAGTGTTTATTTTAGGCCCCTGTCGTGTGTCCGTTTCACCCGGTTTGTCTGTTTATAAATGTAACATTTTTGGGTATAAATCCTGACGGACCTGCAAATGTTTATGCAGGCCTTACGAGGCTTAATTTGCCAAGGCTTGCCTGTAAACAGCATCAGATTACTAGGTCCGACCATATTTCATAAACAAACAACTTTGGTCCAACTGGTTCAACTGTTTGGATCACAATAATTACAGAATTATCACTGAATAATTATACTTATACACGGGGCAAAGAAGTAATTCCAACAGTGTGGACAGGCTTAGGTTGTCAAATTTTCAGGGCGATCCGCTCCTTTATCAAGACACAGTGAAACAGAGCAGTAACATGTACATATACATCATATTACAAGAAGATAGAACTGATATACTATAATAGAAAATATAGCTATTATATAAAACCAATAGTCCCCTTGGCTAAAGACAGCCGAAGGCAGCAATTAAGCTGAGAGCATCGCGGACAAGGAACGCTGATAGTCTAAATATCAGAACGCTCGCTGGCTCTGCTCTATAGCGAAAGTGCACTAAGACGTCTCGCCCAATGAAACACAACAACGACCTGCCAAATGATAACCGTTGTGTTTCATTGGGCGAGTCGTCTTAGTGCACTTTCGCTATAGATTCAGGCCTCTTGTTTTGGGAACACTGTTGATTACACTTAGTTCATTTTCATCCTTATTATTTTTCATAAAAAGCCTCCAAGGTATGTCTTTCTTTTAGGAAATGATTTATAAAAGGGGTTTTCAAGTGACATACACGAAAAAACACACTTTCTAATACATATTTATAGTTTTTGGCAGTGGTACGGGATCCTTGATTTTGGAAGAAGACAAACACTATAGATAATTTACTTCTGTATTGCAGGTACACCGACTGTTGTGATTGGTCAAACAACATACTCCTTTACGACTGGTCAGTCAGCCACGCTTGGCTGCACAGTGACCGCTGTTCCCGCGGCAACCTCAATCGCCTGGGAAAAAACAGACACCAACGGGAACACAAATACAATCAACGTGAACGGAGTCAAGTACACCGGAGGGACAACAGGGACCCCCTCTTTGACGATCGTCTCCTCGGTAACCACAGACTCGGGGAACTACCGTTGCAGCGCCACAAATAGTATCGGGACGGGACAGAGTGAACAGACGTACCTGTACATCACCGGAGGTACGAAACGGGGCTAAAAATAGATTTCGCACTCAAAATAACCCTTCCATATTAGGAGTGTCACAATAATTGCCTAAAGTATATGTAAGGAAAACTGCGATACGTTTAATGATCCATTCCCAGAGGTAAAATTGCTATTTTTTTTAACGTGCTATGATCTGTCACTCGTAGAAGAATGGATTGTAAAAATACAGTGTCAAACTAAGGTATGAATCATACACATTTAACAAATTTAATCTTTTGGTGTTTTTTTTCAATTTTCAATGTTTGATTGAAAGTTGTAGTTTTGGGTTGCAGAAAAATTCTAGAATCAGAAGAGATAATGCCTCGATCAACAAGGAAACCTTTAAATTGACAAAACATGAAAGATTTTCTAGGGTTTACCAGGGGATAGTGTCTAAGTGGGAACATTTCTGAGTGTGGAAATGTTCGTAATGTGAGCCTTTAAACTGATTGCAGTATGGACATTTTTGCATTAGCAATATAGTTCTGAAATCTTTATATTCCATTTTTGTTTGATATTTAGAATCTCTGTGTGGATATTTTTGGAATTTTATTTACTCCACGCAAAATATGTGAACATTTCTCAAATATTTATTATATAGTGTATAAATATACAACCCAGCCTAACAAGGATTTGTATTCATCTTCAGACCTGCCGACTGTGACTGTTAGCCAAACCACTTACTCAGTCGTCACTGGTCAGTCGGTCACCCTAAGCTGCCAGGTATCCGGAACACCAGTGGTCACCACCGTTGCATGGAAACGGAGTAAAAATGGAGTGACCTCCACCTTGACCATAGATGGGTCCAACTACAGCGGTAGTACAACGGGCAGTCCATCCCTGATCATCAGTAGTGTCGACAGTGGCGATACAGCTTCGTATTTCTGTACCGCATCAAACGCTGTGGGGACCTCAACCAGCAACACGATTTTCTTAACTGTAACTGGCAGTAAGTTTGTTATGATTACCGTTTTATGGTTTTCAAATATTTACGTAAGAGAGGGATTTTCTGTTTGACCAGAACTATTTCATACTTTTTTGGTCATTTTTTTGTCAAGAAAGTGTCAAACTATTTTAGAGAATTTATTTAGGGAGTTTTAGGCAATTATATTAAATTGATTTGGTCCATGCTCATTGCCAAATAAAAAAAATACTAATACTATGGTAAAAATGTACAAAAAAAATAAATAATCATTTTCCTGCCAATTTATTAAAAGTTCTTTTGGCAAGCAGAAATGAAAAAATAATTATAAGATTAATAAGATTTAAATTTTTTATGAAAAAAGTTGGTAATTGAAAGTGTGAACTTTGTTTTTGACTTAGATACCCCAGTAGTGTCAGCCAATCAGGACTCCTATTCCGTCACTACCGGCAACTCGGTCACGCTCCACTGTTCTGTGTTCGCCGTGCCAGCAGCCACGTCGGTCCAGTGGGAACGAACCAGAAACAGTGTCACGTCTAGTATGAACATAAACAGTGTGGATTACGGGGGATCCAGCGTCAGTTCTCCGTCCCTGGAAATATACAGCGCAGAGACGTCGGACACGGGCGTGTACGTCTGTAGGGCGACCAACACAGTGGGCACAGGACAGAGTGTTTCTATAACACTGAGTGTTACAGGCAGTAAGTTAAGCACTATTTATATGATATCATTGTGACGATCACACTCGGTGTTTCGGGCTGTTTACATTTCTAACGTGACCCTCTAGGTTTAGGATAAAAGGTAATACACTCAATGATGTGAATCTGTCAATTGTGGACAATCCCACTTAAAAAAACCTGTTAAATGAAGTTTCAACATATTTTATTGTAAAATAAACCCAAATTAATGTATCAGACTAAAGTCTTACTATATAAACTTACAAAGACCTGCTGCATATATAAACCTGTACTAAAGTATAATAGGACTATCCATATATAAACCTGTACTAAAGTATAATAGGACTATCCATTTTTGAAAACCTGTAACAAGTGGTACCATATCTCTATTTCTAAATAGTAAACGATTTTGTTTTGTTTTTCTAATTTTCAAGTTCCTTATCTAAAAAACTGACAACATTTTGAAAGTGTTGTGAATGGTGAACTCAACTTTACCTCGAAAATTAAATTTCACAAATTATATGGGTCAGTGATGAGACTCGGGATACTCAGCACCTGGGCCCGTATTCATGAAACTGTTCTCATGCACAAGCATTGATTTTGAGCTCAAGCCTAATTATTTTTTCTGGTTATAACTTAATTAATAAATCTTAAAGCCAAATACTGTTTTCAATGTTTACATATGACTTTTTGATCGTTTGACATGATCTAAGCAAGTTAAAAGAAGGTTGGCTTGAGCACAGAATCCATGCTTGAGCATGACAACGGTTTCATGAATACGGGCCCTGATGATTGTGCCTGGGTATTCAAGTGAGTTGATTCACAAATTTAACCTACATACTTTTCAGGAAAAGGTTATAATTGAAAATTAATTTTAAAGATCGAAATCAAATGAGCAAGAGTTGGGTATTTTGTTTCTGTAATAAAATGAAATTCAAATAAAACACTGACGTTCTGTCACATGACGTTATTTTACACTGAATTATATACATACAAAAATTAATCTCTTGGTAAAACTATTGAAAGTTATAACAAGGAAAGAGAAATTTTATAGATATTATTATTTTTTATTGGCAGATATTCCAACCGTGACAATTGCCCAAAGTTCCTACAGCGTAACCACTGGTACCACGGCAACGCTGTCTTGCACGATATCCGGAATTCCAGCCTCCAGCATTGTTACCTGGCAGAAAACACGAAATAGTGCGACAAGCACAGTGACCATAGATGGTGCTAAATACAACGGAGGAAGCATCGCTTCACCGTCCCTGATTATCAGCAATACTGACAGTAACGACGAGGGTAGCTACGTCTGCCAAGCCACCAACAGTGTCGGAACCGGGTCAAGCTCTTCCACTACGCTGACCGTTACAGGATGTAAGTAGGTCAAGGTCATAAACTGGTCAACAATTAAGGTGACCCATGTTCACTAAACATCTTTACCATGAAGGTTTTTGCCCGTTTCTTTAATTTCCCTCACATTGGTTGACATTTTCACCGCCATTTATTTCTATTTATTTACATTGGTTATAAGATATAGTTTAAACTTATACAAAACTGAAATTTCTTTGTTGTGAAATCACTTCAGATTTATAAACATGGTGATATTTACAGCAATTTGAATCCTCAGAATTTAAAGCTGATGATGTCAAATATTTTGAAAAACAATTTTAACTTTAAAGTTTGAGAATCAAAAAACAGTGCTTGAATCATATTGAATTGAAAAATGTTTTTTGCCAACAGCTGTTCCATCTGTGAGCATCGTGCAGAATCAGTACACCGTGACTAAGGGAAGTAGTATCACGCTCCAGTGCACAGTCTCCGCCTCCCCGACAGCCACCTCCGTTACCTGGAAACGCATCTCAAATGCCGCGACCACGGTGATCACGGTTGATGGTACGAAGTACAGTGGATCATCCGTGAGCACTCCCTCCCTGACTATAAATAGCGCGGCCAGCGTGGATGCTGCAGCCTACATATGCACTGCCACCAACGTCGTTGGAGTAGGGGAGAGCTCTCAAACAGTCCTCGGTGTCTCGGGAGGTAAGTACATACATGTATAACAACAAATACACCGTAAAATTCCACACCACCTGCTCTAATAAGGATGACTCCATGGGGGTTAATAGCTTACCGTGAAAATCTGGATTTCGTCAGTTCTGAAGGTTAGTTTTTAGTATGACATTTTCTTAAAATGACTTGGTATTAGTTTTAAGGAATAAAAACAAAAACTGCTATGGAACATTATCTGCAGTCCTAGCTTTTTTTCATCAAATCCAGGAATACAAATTATATAGGGCGCTTTATAAATGTTGTATATTATTTATTATTTTATTATTATGAATACTTGAATGAAAATACAGGAGGCTGCGGTGTTCTGACTCTTTAGTCACTAGCCCTAAACTTCTGGGTCCCAGGTGGCTGGAGGCCTACATGAGGCAGACACCAGGTACTGGCTTCAGGTCATTAGTTTTCCTTCAGGTACTCCAGCTTTCCTCCACTACCAAAATCTGGCTCATCCTTAAATGACCATAGGTTTAAAGTACAAACAAACAAAATCAAATCAGACAAATAAAAAAAGACTGGAAGACTGGAGAGATAATAATAATTCCAATAATAATGAGGTTCTTATATACCGCTTTATCACAACCTAGTTAGTAGGTCGTCTCAAAGTGGTTCACAAATTATTATCCGTGGTTATAGGGTCTTTGCAACCAGCCAATACCTTTCTTAACTCCATGGAGAGCATACCGCCAGTCCTGCCATTTCGGTGCTCACAGCTAGCATTCTACAATTCTAGCATTGTGCCATGCCGTGACTCGAACCTGCAACCCTTTGGTCACAAGCTCGAGCTCGGCGTCCTACCACTAGACTACCGTCCCTCAGATGGAGAGATGGTCCAGAAACCTCCCTTGGGCCTCCCCCCCCAAAAAAAAATCTCAACAAAAAACTGGAAATTTAATAACTGCAATGACATGATCTGTGATCTAATACAAAATTTTCTTCTTGACAGATGTGCCTACAGTGACTGTTGGAGCTGCTAGCTACTCTGTTGTCACTGGGTCCTCTATAACTCTTGCCTGTAATGTTGCGGCCACTCCAGCAGCTAGCGCCATCTACTGGCAGCGTATCATCAGCGGTACCACCACCACAATGAACATTGACGAGGTCAACTATTTCGGTGGCTCACTTACGACACCTTCACTGACCATTCAGACATCGTCGTCCAGCGATGAGGGTTATTACATCTGCTCGGCCAGTAACAGCGTGGGCACTGGTCAGAGTGGCCAGACCTACTTGACCGTTACAGGAGGTAAGAACTTGACCATTACAGGTAGTGAGAACTTGACCACTCTTATTGGTGTTGGCATCTCACATTTCTGCGGTATGTTTTACATGTGATATATACAGTAATATTTCTAGATATTTATGTCCCCCAAAATGGAGTGGGGGGGACATATTGTGTTTATTTCATTTATTTTTCTTTTCTTTTCATTTATACATTTCCTTAGGAAATTTATGCATTTTACTGATATCATTAGGGTTGAGTTATACTTTCAATCTTAATTGTATGGAATGTGTGAAAAAGGCCAAATGAGAAATGTTTGTTTTCGGTTACCCTACCTTCCATAATTTTTTGTGTCTCCACAAAACCTTTTTTGGCAGTTATTAAGGAAGAACGATTAAATTCAAGATTATTCTCCTATATAAACCTTATTAGAAAAGGAAAAATTTAATACCTTAACCTATACCTACCCTAATATTTTCAGACATGTAACAGGAAACAAACATGGTTTTTTTTTGGCCTAATGTAGTATTTACTAACACACTCGGATTACTTAACTCATTCACCCCTGAAACACATTTGAACCCTTCCGATTCAAAGGTTGGAGTAGTTCAATATGAAATTTCAGGGGTGAATGAGTTAATTAATTTACAGTGCCAATATAACTGTGAATGTACTTATAATAACACAATCCTGCTCCTGTTTCAACCCTTTCACCACTGTAGACCATAATAGACTCATCCATATCACTGCATGGTAGAGTCTACTAAAGTTACATAGGGGTGAAAGGGTTAAATCCCTTGGGTACATTTGCTCAGCTAGTTTTTTTTTATTCCTTACATAGATTCAGAACACATGCTCATTTAGAGTTTAAGGATCCCCGTACCACTGCCAAAAACTGTAACTAAATGTTGCAAACTGGGTTTTTTCAACATGTCTATAGCTTTGATAAATCATTTCTGAAAAGAAAACCATACATTGCGGGACCTTTATGAGAAATAATATAGATGAAATAAACAAAATGTAATCAATGACAGTATTCTGAATGTTAAAAATTGCATCAGGGCTAGACCAAATTGATGTACCATCGCTCTAACTGATTGAGCTATCTGGTCAACAGAAAAGTCCTAGCCCTACTGTGCTACAGTTATATTAAATGGAATTTAAGGGGAGGTTACCCTAGCCCCACTGTGCTACAGTTATATTAAATGAAGTTAAAGGGAGGATACTCTAGCCCCACTGTGTTACAGTTATATTAAATGGCCGTGCCGGGGAGGTTACCCTAGACCCACTGTGCTACAGTGATATTAAATGAAGTTAAAGGGAGGATACTCTAGCCCCACTGTGCTACAGTGATATTAAATGAAGTTAAAGGGAGGATACTCGAGCCCCACTGTGCTAGAGTTATATTAAATGGAATTTAAGGGGAGGTTACCCTAGCCCCACTGTGCTACAGTTATATTGAATGGAGTTAAAGGGAGGATACTCTATAGAGGAAAGACCACAGTGCAGTGGGACAGAGGCCTTAAGGGTAGAGGGTACCACTGCATTAGTTGAAATTGTATAAAGAAGAGTTCCATTAGGAGTTTTTTGACTCAGAATATTCTTCCTTCTATATAAAAGATAAGGCAACACAAACAAGTTCTGGTTTAGAGTAACTTCCCCTGTTAAGGTTTTTTTCTGCTTTGCGGCCCATAAATTGGACATATATTTACTGTCTTGTTCAAACATAATCCCTGTATGACAATATTGGCAAAGTGTAAGCTTTCCAATGTAAAGGTCCTGGGTTCGACCCTACAGTTTCCTCATATCTTTTCTTTTACATTTTGTTTCCAAACATTAAAATTTTAAACAGCTATATAGATCTGTAAAAATGCATGGCAGCATGTGATTTTTGAGCAATATTTCCTTCGGAAAGTATTTAAGCAAAATATTTCCCAACATTGTCTGTAACAATGATAATATAATTTTCTGTTGATGTTTTCTGTTGGTTTGTATCACACATGTGTGATACAAGTTGTTGTATCACCATACTAGCCGGAACTACTTTTTATTGGAATCCCCTTGTCATGGCGAACTGAAAAATTCCTGGTATTTGCAAAAAATATCAAAGTTTATAAAATCTTTGTATCGATCTCTACCAAATACGTAAGGTAAGTGATAAAAGCAAGACCACACACATGTGTTTTTTCTAACTAATCAGAAAGCACTCATTTATTGCGCGGATTCATTCGTGCGCCCCAGTGCACTCGTGAATATTCGTCCCCGCAATAAACTTGTGCTTTCTGATTAGTTAGAAAAAACACAAGTGTGTGGTCTAGCATATATATATAATGTACCCTTTACCGAAAGCACTGTACATTTAAAAAAAATACCATATCTGAGATATTGTAAAAGATGTGAAAACATAAATTTTGCAAAAATAAGTACATTCACAGCAACTCTTTTACTTAGATTACTTATTCGCCTTTTTTGTTTATTTACCAATATTTACCTAATCAATTAACTATTGTCTGTATACTGTGAAATATTTGCCCAGTCAAACCTTCGCCTTTCGCCGATAAAATCCATATTCCATCAGTTTTAATTTCGCCCTTCACAATATATATATATACATGTATATAATGTTTACAAAGGTTCGCTGTAAATTGCTAGTTCACCCTCGTTACAGCGTGTGAAAAGGCGAAAATTAAATGACAGCGATAATTTCACAGTATACAGTATCAATTTACTTGAATTTATTTTTCTACATTTTCACTTTATTTGCTTATTTATTTATATTTTACTTTTTGTTTATTTACATATTTGTTTAGTTTTCACGGATGTTTACTAATAGTATTTCTCTAATTACTTTACTGTAGAAAAGAATTTTCATATCATTAGGTATTCCGAGTGTCAACATTACAGAGGACTCGTACACAGTTGTTGTGTCAAACTCAATAACAATTCCATGCACTGTCTCTGCAACCCCGAGTCTGACATCACTAAAATGGCAGCGAATCTCTAACGGAATAACCATAACGATAATCCCCGACGGCACCCATTATACCGGTGGCAGCCTGTCTAACCCCTCACTAACCATTATTAACACGCTCTCTGCTGATCAAGCGGCATACAAATGCCGTGCCACTAACGCGGCAGGCACAGGTGAGGACCAGACCTACCTCACGATTACAGGAAGTAAGTTGAGACAAGTTTTCTGCTAAGCATGGATGTGATTGATTGTTTTCTTTGATTTCCAAAAGTTATTTTGGTTAATTTCAGTATAACATAGGTGTCAGCCTCTGAAACCTCCAATGAGAGAGATCTCCCTCATTCCACATTTCAAACGAGGGAGAAAGTGCATGAAACTGCTTTGCTCAATTTGTCTTTCTCCTTTTATGTATCAAAATAACTCCAAGAAGGAATTCTTTTGATTCAGACACGCCTGCTATGATCATTACACACACCCTGCAGTAACTAGGAGATCATTTGACTTGTCTTTTCTTTTTGCTGCTACTGTTACTATGTCTATCGTGATACATATCGTATCGTGACCACAGTATCATGATACGTATCGTATCGTGACCACAGTATCATGTTACGTATTGTATCGTGACCACAGTATCATGATACGTATCGTATCGTGACCACAGTATCATGATACGTATCGTATCGTGACCACAGTATCGTGATACATATCGTATCGTGACCACAGTATCGTGATACATATCGTATCGTGACCACAGTATCGTGATACGTATCGTATTGTGACCACAGTATCGTGATGCGTATCGTATCGTGACCACAGTATCATGATACGTATCGTATCGTGACCACAGTATTGTGATGCGTATCGTATCGTGACCACAGTATTGTGATGCGTATCGTATCGTGACCACAGTATCGTGATACGTATTGTATCGTCATGTTAATGTATCGTTGTAGCCCCCTAGTAGGCTACATTGACTCTATACATGTCCAATAGGCATTAAAGCTTCATATCATGTTGATGCATATTTAGGAACCTCTATAAGATTTGCAAAAACTTGTTCATGTTTTTCTATCAGAAATACTCTCTTACTACTGTTCTAAGTATTTCAATAAAAAGTACTAATATAATATACTAATTATCCTATCAAAAATTGTAATTACCATAAGTAAAACATTTCCTGTAAATATTTTCCATAAAATTCCTAATAATTTTCCGCCTTAGAAAATTCCTATAAATATTTTATATTTTCCTATTAACAATTTCCAACATATATTCACTTTTTTTGCAAATGATTTATAACAAATTGATTATGTTCGACCGTTAATTTTTGACCATCGTTTTTACCTAAAAATTCTTTTCACTATTTAGTCTTTGTATAAAATCTTTTACTTTCCTTGCTGAATGTTCCTATTAAAAATATATGAAAGCTAATAATTAAAGTTCCATCAAATTTTAACACACACTAACTAACCTTTTAACAAACAAAGTTATGTCACTTTAATGCTCTTTGCTAGCTATCACTTGAAAAACATTATCATTACCTTCATAGATAATATTCTAATTATATGCATGATGATTAAAATGTAATTTTGATTTGAAATATATATTCTATCGAATGTTTTTAATGGCTTTTAAAAACGTAATATTGTCAGCATGCATTTTAAAAACAATTTCTTTGTCTTATGTTTCAGTTTCATTTCAGGAATTTACTTTATTACTAATTAATGAAAAAATAATAAAAAAAAAATCAACATTTGTCTCTTGTTTTTATTTTTGATGTAGCTAATTTGTTTACGATTACACAAAAAAATGTATATTTCTACTTAGTTTCAAATAATTAATTCACTTGGCATAAAGGCCAAACATGTAATAGATCTGGCATGTTATGTATGCATGATGTAGCACAGATTTTGTACTAACAATATTCCCATTAAGAGAGTGAAAATATTATATTCAATACGGTTTCCACCACTGTACTACATATATCATTTTTGTTTCTTGATTACAATCATGTATTTAATTGATTTGTTGTAAGAATTCTTAAAAATATTTTTTGGGGTATTTTGACTCCAACCAGATTTAAGTTTGACTTCCCTATTTCATAATTCTGGTTGACTCCCTGAGGTATATTAGTGGTTAGCTCCCTTAGACGTTTGTTATTGACCCTTTAAGTAAGTATTTATGATTAAAAAAATCCAGATGTTTGTTTTTATCCTCCAGTTGATTTAAGATTGAAACCTCCAGATGAAGTAAAAGTTGAATTTGGCATAAGGAAATGTTTTTAAAAGTAAATAAACCCAAAAATATCTGCACATGAATTTATACTTATATTATCTTATAGGTTATTTAGAATATATAGGTTTCAAAATTATTGCCGACTTGAAAATGTCCAGCCCATGACCATTTTCAAGAATCGCAATGCGAACATTTTCACATGCAAGAATTAACCAAGGTGTCTATTATTTACAATATATGTATTCATGTTTGACTACCGTTGTTGGTACTTTCAATTGACACCTCTCAAGGAAACATTTATATTTGTCACCCTCAGTTGATATCTATGATTGGCTTAATACCCCTGTTGGTACTTGCAATTGACATCCCTCCAGTAAACATTTATATTTGTCACCCTCAGTTGATATTTATGATTGGCTTAATACCCCTGTTGGTACTTGCAATTGACATCCCTCCAGTAAATATTTATATTTGTCACCCTCAGTTGATATTTATAACCTCTTTATCCCGACCAGGCGTTCCTGCAGTAACTATCCCTCAGACTTCCTACAGCGTCGTCAGGGGTAGCAGCATCACCATCCCCTGTACCGTGTCGTCATCACCATCCGCAACAAGCATCGTGTGGGAACGCATCATTAATGGTGCCGCATCTACACTGACCATTGATGGGACGAAATGGTCCGGAGGGTCACTCAGTGTACCGTCTTTGACCATCAGTAACTCGGCCACCAGTGACCAGGCTTATTACGTGTGTAAAGCTACCAACTCTGTAGGGACAGGACAGAGTTCACAATCGTACCTCACGGTCACAGGAAGTGAGTATCTATAGAAGGGTTTGTGTGGGTCGGTGCTTGCCTTTTAACAAAATGGCTTGAGTTTTGTGTTCAAGGTTTGAATCCCCTGCCTGATTACGTGGGATTTTTTCAGTTACCTGGGTTTCCTACGACACTAAGACCCCAAGCATGCTTCCATCTGGAGGCTGTGAAATGCTTTTTACGTTTAAAAGAATCATTGTCTGAACAATTATTTGTAAAACTGTTATAAGCCAATCTTTTTTTTCATTTAAACTAATTTTTGCTAGGGCAGTTTCAATTGTTATCCTGAAGCCTAAAATTCCAGTTGTTCCTGCAAGAATGTTGTTTAGTGTAAATTACTGAAAACAAGTATCCACAAATATCACTTTAGGGGTATGTATAAAATATCTCTTTATGCTAATGTTTAAAATAAGTATCCACAAAAATCTAGCTAAACTAACGTATAAAATAAGAATCCACAAATATCAAATGAAACTAACATATAAAATAAGTATCCACAAAAATCTAACGCGACTGCTTTGTTTTCCACCAGGTGTACCTGTGGCGACTATCAGCCAATCACAATACACTGTAGTCCAGGGCGTGTCCAAGACCATCGACTGTACAGTATCTGCCTCTCCTGCAGCCAATTCCGTCTCGTGGGAGCGGATCAACGGAGGAGTGACCACCACGTTGACCATGGACGGCACCAAGTTCTCTGGAGGTCAGCTTAGTACGCCATCCTTGACCATCATCAGTGCGGCCAGCAGTGACCAGGGTTACTACGTATGTACAGCGATGAACAGCGTCGGAATCGGCAGGAGCTCCCAGGCCTATCTCACAGTCACGGGCAGTAAGTGATGGTCTCCACCTTAAACTCATACGACGTTCGCTCTACTACTTTAGTTCTGTCTCTAAAGGGTAACATCGTATAACAGCTTTCAAGACGACCTCTTTAAATATATAAGAAAAAAATCAACAACTTATAGGGTTCGGAGATTAAAATTGCAACAGGGCGAGGTTGGGATTCAAATTCTGAACTAATGGATGCAATACTGTTGCTCTAACCCACTGACCTACCTGATTGCGGTAGTCCCCTGGCCTTGATTGTTTAAAGGATGTTCAACTTTAACCAGTGGTCAGTGAAAAAGCCAAATTATTGCCAATAAGAAACAGCAGCTTTCAAATTGAAATAAATCCTCAAAACACATCAATGTGATCTGCCTTAACCCAGTTTCACCCCTAGGTAACTTGAGTAGACTCTGCCATACATTCATCTGGATGAGTCCATGATGGCCTACAGTGGTGAAAGGGTTAACTAATATGTAGCAGTTAAATGTGGAATATTCTAGATTTTGTTGTATTCAAATTTTGAAATTTTCCGTAACCACTGACTCAACAACTAAGGCTAATCAGCATTTGAGCAACCTTCGCCTGGTCTATTATCAGTCAAACCCAAAACGAAGTTAAATGGAGGTAACTATATTGATGAGAAACTACAGAAATATTCTCATATGTTTTACCTGCACTGGGACAAGGGTTCCTTAACCCATTCACCCCTAAAGTTACATTGAACCTTACCAAATCAAAGACTGGGTAAGTCCAGTTAGAATATGTAGGGGTGAATGAGTTAATATGTTATCTATTTCTCTGCCACAGGTGCACCTACCGTGACCATTGGTTCATCAACATACACCGTTGTCATCGGCAACACCATCACGCTTGGCTGCACATTTACCTCAAGTCCCTCAGCAACCTCACTGAAGTGGGAGAAATTCGTCAACGGTGTCGCCTCAACAATCACAATTGACGGGACGAAGTATGGTGGCGGAAGTCTAAGCTCGCCAGACCTGACCATCAATACGGCGGCCTCCAGTGACCAGCTGTATTACAAATGTTCCGTGTCTAACAGTGTCGGCGAGGGTAGCAGTAGTCAAACCTACCTCTATGTTACCGGCAGTAAGTATACCGATCAAAGTATATCAAACCTTTATCAGTGAGGATTATACGAATCTGTTTAAGCCTTCGCTTTCTTATTACAGCCGCAAGGGGGATTGATCGAGGGACGTGTCAACTTATGTTTGACCCATCCCGTTGCGTGAATGTCCTGTCCTGTCCCAAATCAGGGTCATTTCTTTTAGGGACTTCATTTCTGAACTAATAACAATCAAACTTAGACATCAGTCTACTATGAGAATAACTATATTTACATTGTAGTTCCTATTCCATGATCAATGTTTCCATTACTATTCATTCAATTTGTCAAGCAATGACACTACTTTGCATAGGTTTCAGGGCATTTATTGTGTCTCAGTCAGTATCAATTTTTCAGGTTAATATCAACACTCACACACTCTTCAACAGATTCATAATTGATAAATATGTAAGAGGAATATTATCGCTGTGATTAACTGTATATAACTGAAACTCTGTTTCTAGATATCCCATCTGTAAGTGTTAGTCAGACCTCGTACAGTATTGGCTATGGAAGTTCAGTCACCCTGAACTGTGCCGTCACGTCAACACCAGCCGCTAGCTCAGTCTTCTGGGAGCACACAGACTCAAACGGTGTCACTTCCACCGTGACGATCGGTTCAGGCTATCAGGGAAGCACATTAAGCTCTCCGTCGCTGGTCATCTCCTCGGCCGCGCTCGCTGACCAGGGCTCGTATTACTGCAAGGCGACCAACAACGTGGGAACAGGAACCAGTAGTCAGGTCTACCTCTACGTCACTGGAGGTAGGTGTGGTCAACACGATTATTTTACGTTAAAAAAATAATTGTTTCGTTTCTGTTTACTGGTGATAACCTTTTTTTTTCAAATTTTCTTTTTCAATTTTTTTTTTAATCCTCACGATTTGAAGCTTGTCCGTCTGTCCATCTGTCTGTCTCTTTGTCACACATCTATTTCTGCATAATATATCAAGTTTTTGTGACCCAGTCACTTTCAAACTTCTCACACTCCTGGTTTACCTCCCTTTCTTACTTGGGTTTGCCTTTCGGGGCAAAGGTCATGGCCACAACTTTCAGGAAATAGGTTTCTGCACAAAAGCTAGAGTTTTTGTGTACGATTATAGAGATCTTTTTCAATTTCATAGATTGTTTCCTTATCAAAGATGCTTCCAAGGGATTGTTTCGATGGTCGAAAAGTCAAAGGTCAAGGTCACTGTAACTATAAATAGAAAATTGTTTTCTGCACAAAAGCTTAATTAGTTCCTGTAGACTGATAGTATTCAAACTTCATATACATGCTACTTTCTTATCAAAAATGAATGTTTGGGAAGGCTTTCAGGTCCAAAGTTCAAAGGTCAAGTACACCTACTATTTAAATAAAAAAGGACAAAAGGTTTTCAGTCAATAATGCAATTTCAAACAGACTGATAGTGCTCAAACTCCATACACTACTTTTGTACCAGATGTGCCTGCTTTCGGTTGTTTTTCTGTTTCCAAGGTCATAGGTCAAGGTCACCTAGGTTTCCACACTTCCAATTAAAACACTGCTTTCTTGTCAAAATTAATGTAATCAAGGCCAATGTATCTATATAAATAGATTATTGCATTCAACGCCTCATTAATGGTTGTGTCATCATTTCGAGAGAAAAAACATGCATCACAGATGTCCACTTGTTTTAATTCTTCGTAATTTGCATAGAGTTTGTTTTAAAAACAGTATATTCCTTTTATTCATAATGTGATTTTTATTTCTATACAGGCCCAACCAGTAAAGTTTTGTTTAATTTACTGTTGAAGCTTAGATTTTTTTTATAAAATTTTAAAAGGGTATATTTTTATAAAAGTAGCTTTCTAGTTATGGTAAAATGAAAGATACATATTATTACTTATATGACTTTATAGACTAAGAGTTTTCTGGCATGTTTGATTATAATTCAGAAAAAAGTGGAATGTTAAGGCATGCTTTTATTCCTTTTTAAGTAATATCAAGTATGAATGATTTTATTTTGTCTTTTGTAAATTTACATGATTTTATCCTGAAGGAATATGTCTAAACTGACCCCTGTGTAAACTGGCAAACCTTACAAACCAGCCCTGTCTATTGAGAATGATGTAAGATTGACCTGTCTAATCCAAAACTCTGTTGAATACAGCACATAGGTCAGATAAACTCTCTAATCTGACACTATGCAACTTAACACAGATCAAATTAACTTTTTTATCTGACACTTATATGTGACTTAACACATAGGTGACAGATAAACTCTCTAATCTGGCACTGTGTGACTAAACATAGGTCAGATTAACTCTCTAATCTGACACTATGTGACATAACACAGGTCAGATTAACTCTCTAATCTGACACTTTGTGACTAAACAGAGGTCAGATTAACTCTCTAATCTGACACTATGCGACATAAAACATAGGTCAGATTAACTCTCTAATCTGACACTATGTGACATAACACATGGGTCAGATTAACTCTCTAATCTGACACTATGTGACATAACACATAGGTCAGATTAACTCTCTAATCTGACACTATGTGACATAACACAGGTCAGATTAACTCTCTAATCTAACACTATGTGACATAACACATAGGTCAGATTAACTCTCTAATCTAACACTATGTGACATAACACAGGTCAGATTAACTCTCTAATCTAACACTATGTGACATAACACATAGGTCAGATTAAGCAAGATATTGGAATATTCATTTTAATTTTCATTAGAAATGGGATTACAGCTTTGTGTTGGATTAGACAGAATGACAAAATACTCAGGTGTTACTATAGACAGGATGACTTCTTGAGTACTGCATTCATTAGAAATGGGACTACAGCATTGTGTTAAGTTACACAGGGTTTCACAATACTCAGGGGTCAGATAAGACAGATCTTGTTACAGTAAGATTTAATCATGTATCTTTTAAGTAATAATTTTCTTTTTATTCCGATTCAGCATGTCTGCATGTCAGCTGGTAAATTGTTGGTATATTTGACCTAAAACAGTTAAAATGCTTGTTGGCTTTTTATAATTTCAAAGAGAGAGAAAAATAAAAAATAAATTGTTTATTTTTTTAATTTAAAAAGTGTTTATATTGATCACCATCACAATATCAATTTTTTGATGACATGGTATTCTTAAAATATATAATCATAATATAACTCCTAATTTGAAATTTTATTTCAAGACATTCATCATGAAGATGTTGAATGCTGTGATTTGCAATCAACACAATTTATCTAATATGATTTTTAATTAATTTGAATTCTTTTTCCAATTGACAGCTTATTTTACCGGATTTTTTTATATTTCCAAAACTGTGTCCTTGGGCTCACATATTGAGAGCAGATATTAGTGAAAATAGTTTGTGAAGACAGTTTCAAAGTCATTTTTCCCACTTACCTCAGTAAGGTGGTGTGGAAAGTGAAATATTTTTTCTTTCGCTCATAACTGTCGCCCAAGGATGATGGAGGAGTTGTTGGTTCATTGAACTAGAGTTGCTTCCCTTGTTTGAAATTTGCAGCATTCTTTTTTATACCTAAGCTTTTATTATGAGCCATTTTTTGTTTGCAGCAAAAATACACAATGCTCTGATTTCTCAACTAAATAATTTAGAAATTAAGTTTTTTTTGTCCAGGTATTTAAATACACATTGTGCTCCTCAAATTTTTTTAATTTTGATGTGCATTTTATTTTCATTTTTTTTTAAATTATATTTTCTAAATTACTACTTTATTGAAATTTATTTCTTCCTACAAAAATGCATTTAAAGTCACAGATTTTAAATAAGTACAAGTTTTCAATCAGTACCTCCTTTTCGAGCAATTTTGTAAGTGTTTACTAACCCTTTCACCACTGTAGACCATAATGTACTCATTTAGATAAATGCATGGTTGAGTCAACTAAAGGTATATAGGGGTGAAAGAGTTAAAAAGAAAGTATGTTAAAATGTAAAATGAAAAAAAAAATTTGAATTGAAGTTAGTGTGACAGAAAATCACAAGAAGACCAATTCTCAAGTCTTTTCTCTGCTATATAATCCTGTTACATTTTAAGATTATTATTTGAGAATTCAGTGCCTGCTTTACTGCTTTGGATAAGAGCAATACTAATAGCTTGTCATCAAATGCATGGGCTTTATTTATTCGTGCAATAATGACAAAATTGATTTTTTTAAAGATAAATACATACATTTTGCTTACAGTTGTATTAGAAAATGTTTTAAATTATTTTCTTGCAGACAATTTTATAAGATGCACTTTTTAGGGATATGACATGTTTAATATGTATATATATATATATATTTAATAGTAATATTTTATTTTAAAAATTGTAACTTAAACTTTTTTTGTTCCATCTTCTATACAAAATGAATTCATCCGATTGTCTACTGTAAATTCAAATGCAGTCTTAGTTATTTATGTTGCTATCATTTACCTGTTTCGTTTCTGTTGATTTTAGCGAGAAAGGGATTTCGAAATAAATTAATATATTCTAACAAAATTTTGTGATGTTTAAAAATGTCAGACAGTCTTATAGGTTAAAGCTTTAAATATAATGTATTTATTTTATTGAAACATTGATTATTTCAAAACTTCTCATCTAAATGTTTTTAATCTAAATATGATACATCAAAGTATTACGAATGGCAATTTTTATATTTATATAATACACTCCACCATAATGCAAGTTCATTATTGTTGATATATGTTGCTTATATATGATAATGATAAATGTACTACATGTATATGCTCTTTATGATTACGAAACCATCAGAAACACGTTTATTTAATCAAGTCTTTCTCTTAGATACGCCCAATTTGACAGTTGAAACAAATCCTTTCTCATTTTTACCCTTAGATACGCCCAATTTGACAGTTGGGGCGGCAACTTATAGTGTACCCATCGGCGGCAGTGCCACCCTCGGTTGTACCATCACCTCCTCCCCGGCTGCCACCTCCATCTTCTGGTCAAAGGTCACCAATGGGGCCAGTAGCACCATCTCGACGGCTGGCAACTCTAGGTACAGCGGAGGAACACTTTCCAGTCCGTCTCTGGTCATCACGAGTCTTCAAAGTTCGGACGCGGGGTCCTACAGATGTAACGCGGTGAACAGTGTGGGAACTGGTCAGAGCAGCCTGACGAGCCTCATCGCCACGTGTAAGGACGTTAAACATATCACAGCAAACTGAATAGTGTGCTAGGCCAAACCAAATAGATATCAGGTCAACCCAAAAGTATTTAGGCCAAACAAAGTAGAATATCAGGTCAAACCCGATAGCATGATTGTTTTAATCAAAAAGTCATGTAATGGACAAATCAAATACTGCATGCAAGAAAAGAAAAACCACAACAAGGCTAAACCAAATATCAATAAGGGAATATAGGGTCTGTAAGGATGTAAAACATTTACAAGACTAAACCAACTATCATGATCAGTATGATTAGTAAGAGTATAGGAAAATAAATTATCTTTTAAAAGTAAAATGATCTTTTTCTTAAAATGTTATCAATTGCTTGAAAGTTCAATGTAAAGACATTGCTGAAATTTGACTTAGATTTACATGGCAGGTGTCATCCATGGCTGAAGATGCTTATCCTTCTGGAACACCTGGTCTTATTCTTCTTGTACTACATTATGTATATCAAGGGTCTCCATGGAAATCTTTCATTTCTTTAAATTCTGCCCTAGGTTTATCAAATTTCAGTTCAAATTGTATTTTGTTCAACCTTTTGATATTTGTTACTAAACATGTTTATTTGATTATTTAGATGCCCCACAAAACACAGTTGTTTCCCCTTCTTCCCTGACGAGGGATGAAGGGCAGACAATCTCTGCTACCTGTACCTCTGACGCAAGTCCCAATCCAACATTCGCCTGGGTCAAGGTCAGCACAAACCAACAGTATGGTACCTCCAATACGCTGACCATCTCCAGCATTGACCGTGGCCACGACGGAGATTACAGGTGTACAGCCACAAATAGCCAGGGGTCAGACACAGCCACAATGACCGTCAATGTCCGATGTAAGTATTTATAAAACACTGACCATCCATTAAAGGCTATAAAGCACAGAAAATTAAAAACAATTTTAAAATACACTAACCATCTATAAAAAGCTAGAAACACAGAAAATTAAATACAATTTTAAAATACACTTATATTACCATCTATAAAAAGCTAGAAACACAGAAAATTAAACACAATTCTAAAATATGTGTAGGCACAAAAAGAATTGCATAAATATTGTAACCCCAATCCCAAAATTGTAGCCGTCCAATATCCAACATTGTATACTTCCTTTCAATTGACACAATGATTTAGTAATTTCAGGGGTGAATCTAACGCAAAGAATGAGGAAATCTTTTTTGTCTGGTTATTGAAGACTTTGTAAATCCTTTCACAACTGTGGACCACAATGGACTCATCCAGATAAAGCTATGGTAGATTCTACTTAAGTTACCTAGGGGTGAAAGGGCCAATCCTGGTATTAAGGTTAAAAAAAACACTAGAATGCATTCATGCGATATTGAAATGTTTTGCTTAGTGAATATTTTCAAGGGGAGATAACTCTAAAAAATATCCGATGACACCTGTCCTTAATTCTGTATGTTTGTTTTGTTGACCAGATCGCCCAGTGAGTACAGTGACCAGTGCCCAGGCATCCGTGGTATTGAGCTCTGGTCAGTCCCAGACCCTACAGTGTAATACCGTTTCGAATCCGTCAGTGTCATCGTACTCTTGGACAAAGGACGGAGTGTCCCTCACCAGTGCCACCAGTCAGAATTATATCGTAACCATTAGTGCGTCCTCGGACTACGGAACATATTCATGTTACGCCACCAATGCTGTCGGACAATCCAATGCTATCCCATTCGCTGTCTCATCGGGCACTACAGGAACAACAAGTAAGAAAAAATATTTTTCGAAAATTGAAAAAAATACATAACAGATCTTAAATTACAAATTTAAGGCCTCATGTCATACCAAATTTTTGAACAAGTTTGATAAATTCATTAAGTTAATGAAAAATGATATATACCAAAAAAACTTTCCAAAAAATCACCTTTATAACAAGAAAGCAATAACTTTCTTTGAAAATTGAAAACAAAGCATGTTAAGGATGTTGAATAAATTTGAATCATTTATGAGTTTAATGTAGAATAATGTAAACCAATAGATTTTCCCAAATTTCGCCTTCACTTTTAACAACTACATATATCATGTTTATTTACTAATACTGTGCTCAACTAACAAAGGTCGAAGGGTCATTTTTGGCCTCATCGGGGATTTTTAAATACATAGTTATTATATATATATTCATAAACTGGAATATATGAAGTATGCAATTATGAAATTTCAAGTTCATTCGACGACTGGTTAAGGAGATATGGCTTTACAAAGAGAGACATAAACCCAATTTTCATAACAAATGTGTGAATATCGTCTGTGGTGTGCTATTTGGTTGAAAATTGGCCATTTTGAAGGAAATTCACTTAACAGTTTTAATTTTTGAAACCCTGCGCATGCAACAAACACATTAATGTTTGACATGCTTAAGTATTGTCATACCAGTGTTCATTCGTAGAAAGGACTTTTTGTTTGTCACACGCGAAGGCTTTCATTTCTGCATGCTATCCCCCCAAAAACACTTATTTTGACTATTTCTGCACAGCAACGCAATTTCGTTGCTATGGTCAGGCATCTGCGCTGGGCATTGGAAACAATATGCAACAAGAAAGATTGCCCTAATTAACCAATATGATGTTTATAACAGAAATTGGTAAATAAATTCAAGTTGAAATGTTTTTATGAAGTCAAAAATGACCCATAATATTAATGCTCCAAGTCTTTTGCCCTCTTTATGGAGGGCAGAACAGGCAAAGGGAAAAACTGCAAAATAAAATCATGTAAACAGTATTTCACTGATGGTTATAAAGTAATAGAAAGAGAACTGTGGTAGAAATTCTTTTGATATTTGTCAAAAACTGACCCAACAGAATTTTCAGGGTCCATAGAAGACTCTGCATATCAGCCTCACCCTATGTGAGTTTTATTGAGCCCTTATAATCTTGTAATGGAAAAAAAAAGAGGTAGAAACTATAAATGTATTTATCCCAGACTGATCCTGCAGGATAAAGGGTGGTACTGACTTCCTACTGGATTATAGGGGGTCAGTAAGATCCATAGAAGATTAAGCCTATCAAACTTACCCAGAATCAGGGTTCTACTGAGCCCCTGTATAACCTTGTAGGGTCTGGCAATAACAAATTGTAAAACTGAAAAGTTATAGCAGTCATTTAAAGCAATGTATTTCTTAAAAAAATAATCTTTTGCAGTGTGTTAAAAATAGAAATGATGTGTACTTGTAATTGGACAAATAAAGATGAAATACCTAGAATTAGCTGCCCTTGTTCTTGAATAGAGAACTAATTTTTTTGGTCCCCTTTGGTTCTTTATAAACATGTTTTACTCAGAGATGTGTATATACTACATGGCTTTCTATGTCTCTGTTTTATTGCAGAGTATCTTAAACAACGTTAAGACTAACTATGAACTTAATCATTACAGGTGGACCCGCTACAGGGGCATCAACTGCAGATACCGGTCTAACATCGGGAACGATCGCAGCCATCATTCTCGCCATCCTCTTCATCCTTCTTATCCTTCTCCTTGTCATCTGCTGTTGCTGCATGAAAGGTAGGAAATATTTACCTGATTATATGAGAGTTATTTCCCTTGAATTTCATATGTTGCATGTACCCCTTAAAATGCGTTTGTTCCCTAACAGTAACTATTGTTCATACATTGCATGAGTTATTCTTATTCTAAAATTCCTGAATAACTTCCTATTTCCATATAATGTAAGAGTAGTTGTTCCTCTTAAAGTATACAAATATTATTTCCCTTAAATTCACGAGTTATTCCATTTGAACTACTTGAAATATTATCCTTAAATGTATGAGTTATTCCCCTTGAATTACTTAATTATAACCCTTAAACTTCATGTTTTACCAGGAATTACTTAATTGGTTCTCCTTAAAATTTATGAGTTATTCCTCTTGAATTACTTCACTTATTACCTTTAATATGCATGGATTATTCCCCTCAAATTTCTTCAAATATTCCCTGTAAAATTTGTGCTATTCCCCTTAAATTATTTTTGTAATTCCCCTTTAATTCCATAAATTATTCCCCTTGAAGCACATGAGTAAGTTCCCTTACAGTAGAGATGTACAATAAAAGGATGAACTTAACAAAAATCTTCCAGGTGTGTGTGGTAAGAAGGAGAAGAAGAAGAGGAAGATTGAACCGACAGTGATCAGGGAAGAACCAAAGGAGATTATCCGGACTATTGAGATACCACGCTACGTGGAGAAACCCTTCGTCTACAGGGAACCAGCGTACAGGGAACCAGCGTACAGGGAACCGGTATACAGGGAGACCTACAGGGAACCTTCCGCCGTTTCTCGCCAGGATGTGGTCATGTAAGTAGCTCACATGTAGGCAATGATAGATGTAGTACATCATACATTTAAGTAAAAATAGGTTATTCGGTGTGGAAACTTCACTTTGCCAGAATGTCATCATGTAAGTAGCTTAAAAGCAGGCAATTGTAATTTTAGGTCATCATGTATTGACATTCATTTGTAATTTTACTCATTTTGTAAGTAGCTCACATGTAGGCAATAGTAGATTTAGTACATCATAAATATACAAAAAAAATACTAGATAATTTATTGTGAAAACTGCAAACGAAAACAGTTTGATCATGTTAGTAGCTGTCACATGTAGGCAATAGTAGAATCAGTATATAATACATCTAAAACAGTAAGTGATTTTGTGCAGAAACAATCCAGGACGTGATCATGTAAGTAGCTCAAATGTAGGCAATAATAGATTCAGCACATCGTACATCAAAATTTATTAACCACCGTTTGGGGGAAAATCCTCGGATCCACGGTTTCTGGCCCCTATATCATGTAAGCAATGCATGCTCATATGTGGACATTAGAAACGTAAGAAAAAGTTACAACTTTTTTTTTGTCTCTCTTTTACAGCGCTGAGGAGAATTTCGACATTCTGAAATATCAGACCGTTCCCCCATCTGGGACCTCAATAGATGAGTAAGTATTTTTTACGAACAAAATGGTGTTTATGGATTTTATAACACTTTGAAAATTCAAATCTCAAAAATATTGGCACAATTTCAAAGGTCGAATGATCTTAAGACACCTTGAAAATTACCAATGTAAGATGAATAATAGGTTAGTGACGAAGGCCCATTGGGCCTTTTGTAAACCCTTTCACCACCGTAGACCATAATGGACTCATCCAGATCAAAGCATGGAAACGTTTACTGAAGTTACATAGTGGTGAAAGGGTTAAGGCCATATTTTCTTTAATATCATCGTGATCAGGTTCATGAAACTTTAACTGCTCCTCATAGAAATTCAGTAACTGTATTCTGTGTATTACAACAGTTCACTGGAGCATAACCACCGCCGCAGCTTTCGAGCACCAGCCAATCTCCCAGCTTTGGAGTATACTGTTGAAGCCACGACAACCGCTGATGATGAGGAACGTCGACGACGCCGGAGGAGCAAAAAGAGGAGGAGGAGGCATCGCGAGGAGGGTGAGGGAGAGGAGAGGGAACATCGCAGTACCTCTCGCCGACGACACAGGAGGAAACGTCACGAGGAGGTCGAAGGAGAACCAATAATTACGAATGGGGATGTATACTACAGAAATTACTCTAACAACGCCGACACCAGCGAACAATATTACTACAACTAGGGATGTCATTACAACTAATTACGACTAAAATTATAACTACAAACGCTGACACAGGCAAACACTGTTACTGCAACTAGAGGTGTCAGTATAGCTAACAACAACTTGATGAAATACTATTACAAAAGCTGACACCAGCAAACGATGTTTCTACAACTACAGTTGTCAGTTAAACTAATGACAACTAGAAGTATAACTACAAAAACTGACCCTCATAAACAATGCTACTACGACTTGTAATGTCTTAGCTAGCTACCAAGGCAATGAACAATACAACTACAAAAGCTGACCCTCATAAACAATGCTACTACGACTTGTAACTTAGCTAGCTACCAAGGCAATGAACAATACAACTACAAGTAAGAGTTGTCTGTGACAGCTAGCTTCCAACAACAATTTACAAAATAATTACATCTGTTGCTGCCATGTTCACCTAGCCACCCACTTTGTAGAAAATTTAATACAAAATCTACATTTTTGATTCTGCAACTTCAGGGAGAACAATTATTATAGAGGTAAGGTAAAACTATGTGGGGTTTTTTGGGGTTTTTTTTATAGATTGAAATTTCGTTTTTTTTTTTTTTTAATGGATTTGATCTTTTCTAACAAATTCTAAAATTGATTAAAAGGGGACATAACTCTATAAACAGTGACTAACAAACAGATTGTCATAAATAGTGTCTGTGTCACTATGATTTCATTAGCATACAAAATTGTGAAATGCTCTGAAACTTATTAAGTATGGATCAATAATGTTTTTATGTAACATTTTATGCAATGAATTTAATTTTTTTGATAATTTAAAAAAAAACTAAATTGAGGTCATCTATATTTTTAAATATCAGGAAATGTTATAACAAATTTATTAATTTACAAAATTGCTACTTTAGAAATAAATTTATTTAAATGAACTTACTCAGCTGGAAATACTCTTAGCACTTAAAGCATAATATTATTATTACTCGTTATAGTTGGCCAAAATAAAGTAACCGGGTTTATTCAACAACATCCTTGTGTATTGAAGAGTACAGGAGTTAAAAGCTGTATCATAATGCATGTAATTAATGTTATCACTATTGAGCTCAACAGGGTAGTGTTTACATGATATTTATGTAATGTGTGTCTGTTTATAGATTATCAAAGTGTGTATTAGGATATTCTAGTCTTATAAACCTTATTTATTGCTTTAGGTGACTGAGATTAGGAAACTTTAAAAATCATTTGTTTCAGACTATTTTGTTTTAGATATTTTATTGAGATTTTTTTTTCACAACCGCTTAAAATTTAAAATTGTTTAATGCTTGTTGTCTTCAAATGTTGATCGTGAATTTTTAATTTGACATACAAGTTATGTATGTCAATATTTGTACAGTATTACTTTTAAAAATTTGATTCTACCTTTTTAAGCTTGTATTGTTTAGGTTTTACTGAAGCGAAAATAGAACTTTCCACTTAATAAAAATTTGGACCTAAGAAAGTCTATTTACACCAGTTGAAATAGCAGCTATGATATTACAATAAATGTATATTATTATTATGTAATGTAAATTAATGTAATGTAATACGTTATGTTTGATGTACAGTGAAACTTTGTCCTCTGAAAACCATGGCATATTGGAGTGAAATTTCCTATTTTATGTTCAATCAGGAAATCTTTTCTTATTATTAGGTATTTTTATTCATAGAAAATGTGATTAAAGATTAACAACATATCACTGTTTACTTGTATATATGTAGGTATGGTTATGTCATGGTCATGTGATCAAAACTTTGACCAATCAACTTGTTCCGTCCCTTATTTTGATCTATTTTTGGATCCTAAAAAGAAATACACAGTTGTTTACAGTGGATTTTAATATATCCAGATGATGATATAGAGAGAAAAAAAATCTATTTAAGAAAAAAAAATCAGTTTGATAATCTGAATAACTTTATTTGGAGTATTAAAAAAAATCCAGCCATAAAAATAATTGTTCATGTATATGTTAATTTTCCGTCCCAAACTAATGAATTTAACAAAACCTCTAACTTAATTTTAGTACAATGTTTTTATTCTTTTTACATTAGACTGTGTTAATTTCATTTTGGACATTTGTGATTTACATCATTTTATGTCAATTTGTGATGTTATATATAATGTAATCCCAAGCGAAATGTGATATTTCTACATATCAAAATACACTTCACTCATCATTGTATTATATACACAAATATTAAAGTTATAAATTCCTTAGGTATGTATTTTATTATCAGGTTACCAAATATTTTTTATAACCAATCATACCGATATTGCTAGAAATCATTTTCAACAATGTATTTTTCATGTGTCTTAATGTCAAAATCAAATTATTAACCATTACCTTGATTATAAAACTACTTGAATTTTCAAAATTTGAAGAATATATACTAAAGTACAATATTATTGAAAATATCACTTTATAACAGTAAGTATATGTCAGAATGATAGATTGGAGTAACTTTCAATTTTTTACGACAAATTAATTTACAATTGACCGTCTCTTGAGAGGTGCTAGCCTTACATTGTACATATTAGGGATTGAACGTGTAAACAATATCGTGCTTACAGCCATGCATATGGCTTTGTGGTTAATATCAATTCAGTATTTTCTGTAACAGTGAAACCCTTAGTTTTTAGTGAATAAATGTATATATATACTAATGATTTTACTTAAGAGAATGTATTCGAGGATCTATGAATTCAAAAATGAATGTATGTATTCGTGATGAATATTCACAAAACATTTTAATATCGTTTTTCTCATGCCATAAGCCCAGGGTCCCAAATATAGTCTGTGAGTCAAAGAGTATGGGATGATTACAGTACAATAAAACAGCATATGTTGACATTTCTACTGAGCTGTATTTGACATGGGTGGGCCTATTTCCAGGCGTGGGCTTATTGCCGGATAAATACTGAACAAGATCTGCTAATTTTAGAACACTTTAATATATTTCTAATGAAACATAAATATTTACAGTAGGGCAAATGCTTATTGTGATTTTGTAATCACAGTACCTATTGTGTTAGACCATATTTAAAACCTCTTAATTTCTGAGATGCTTTCTGTTAAATTATTGTTAGCAGTAATGTGCTATGTTTTGTCAATCAAAACATAGATCGGTATACAATTAGGTATTTTAAAAATAACAATTTGTTTTCAATACATTGTCATAGTATTGTAGAGTCATAGATAGACTAAATTATCTTACAATGACACTATTTGTTCGTTTTTTAGAAGATTTTTTTTTCTCATTTATTGTGAAGTTATGATTATTCTTTTCTATTAAAATCAAATATGTAAATGAATACAGTAATTGCGTAGATTGTTTAGAACAAGTTATCCATTCTTTCTTTAAAACTTTATAATACTAGTATGTACTTGTACAGTGCTGAATTTGTTTTTATTTTGAAAATATATTAGACTGTAGACCATAATGGACTCATCCGTATCAATGCATGGTAGAGTCCACTAAAGTTACATAGGGGTGAAAGGGTTAAGTAATCAATGTTTACCATGCATTGATACGGATGAGTCTATTATGGTCTACAGTGGTGAAAGAGTTAATATATGATTGTTATTTATGAAGTCTTTTATGTTGAGCTTGACAAAATATTTGCAATGGTACCTGACAAACTATCCTTATTTTTTGTTTTTTCACTTGAGTAAATTTTCTCAATATGGAAATGTATGTAAGGAGTAAGGAGAAAGTCTTATTAAAAATTCTTTCAAGGAAAGTGAAGCCTGATATTTTGATAGTAATATTGGAGAGCGATACATGAACTCATTCTCGTACATTGTATGTACATGTGTAGACGTATTTTAACATGTTCTGTTTCATTAAGACAAAGATTCAGTGTAGCATGCTCTGTTAGGCGGAGTATTTTATACATGTAGGTCAATAATGATGTCTTGTTTATGTATAGCGAGGAAAAAATCATTTTGTATTGCATCGAATGTATTTTTATAACCTGTCATTGAAGCATTAGGTGATACATTTGTTATTAAAATTAGCAACTTAATCAATTCAAAGTGAGACATGTGTTTTCTTGTTTTTCAACATTAAGTGTCTAGTAGTTTGGGGGCACCATTTCAATTCAAAATGAGAATTAAATGCATACAAGCTAAAAATAAATATCACCAACCTTCTAACGGACTTGTCCGACATCTATAAGCAGTCTTTTTCATATAAAATATGAAAACTGCTTAGGTGCAAAAGTACAAACAAATACAGATTTCCTACCTCCCGACCGGCGCAAACGAGGCAAGCATCAGGTGTTAATTTTTCCGGCGGCGTCGTCAACACCAAGTTTTTGCGTTTAACTTGGTTTCACTGAAAGTGTTGGTGCTAGACCAACCAAACTTGGATCATAAATACATCTTAGATATTACACCTCACAGCATCTCCATAAACATTAAGTTTTTGCGTTTAAGTTAGTTTCTCTGATATGTGCATTGATGGATCCACAAAGCGGGGCACAGGCGAGACATATCAATCCGAATCGCTTGTTTTGCACTGAAGTACAAATCTTTTGCATGAACGTTTGCACATAAGTGATTTCTAAAACGGCCGCCCTTATTGTTAACCAAACATATCCAAAATTGGAGAGAGAAAAAAATCCAGATAAAATAAGACCTAAAAAAGACAGCCTGGGGATGTTTTATGGCAAGACTTGGAAAAGACAAAGGCCATTATTACTCAACTGTACTAATCTCTTGGTTCCCTGTGAGATGAATGACCAACGATCGTTTTCCATCATTGTGAACTTGACCTTTCCTGGACTTCCAAATGTGCCAAACCTCGGGCGCAGTCTACATGTGTAGCTGTTCCAGTTCTAACTGTTGTCGTTTGATTTACACATTGCAATTTCAGAAGTCAGACATCATATCCCTTGGAATTAACTGAAGTTCAAATGTGTCTTCAGGGGTGAATGAGGTAAGAGTCAAAACACATGCCAAATAAATGTATCTCTTGAAACACATGAGTCAAAACTTATTTTGCGGATTCAACATAATATATTCTATGAAATCTAGCACGAATATATTTTGTCGTCAAGGTTTCTTACACAAGGAAGTGTCCAAATCCAAAGTCCATTTGAACACCACTCGTGGGATGCGCGGCTGAACGTGACCAATCCATCTGAATCTCCTCTGTTTGATTTCCACATACAAGGCTTTGGTGTTTGAGGCGATGTTCAGTAAACATTTGGAAAAATTTAACTTTCTTCATAACGCGCATTTTTTTCTGAGCCATAAATGCACCATGACTGTTGACTAATCTTGCCTTAGCGTCTATCTTCGTTCTGTTGTGTTCGCAAGCGAGACCTTCCATCGTAGGTTACATCATCCACATAATCTATACGCTCGCAATTTACTCTGTCTAGTGCAGTCAGAATCCTGTTGAAAAACAACACATGGGTTCGGCCGCGTTGATATTCATGGCATGTCTATACAACCTCACATTCTTCTCTTGATCGTTAGAGCGGTGGGTGGACAGAAAAGAAAAGCAATATCTTTGCCGGAGTCAAGGGTCTTCATCTGAGAGGACACCTTGGTTAATTTACTGGGGTCTTCCTCATGGTTCATTTAACGGTGACAAGGAAAAGAGTTTGGGAGATAACACACCACAGTCTTATCCCAAACATCACTTGGAACCTTTTAGATTGTGTATCGTTAAACGAGTCAGCTGGTGTCGTTCTGGTGGTAGCATGTCCTTATCGTCGTGACAGTCTTAGGTGAGCATCCATATGATAGAAGTGTAATCTGAAAACTGTCACGATGCACACAAGTTATAC